GGCATAATCTTCTTATTTTTCTTTCTTCTTCACGACACACTTCGACCCCATGGGGGCAACGAAATGCTGCCGAAATTTTTGAAAAATTCCAAAACTTAGCTTCTCTTCACTCTCCTCCACCTCCTTATTTATTTATTTATTTACTTATTTATTTTTTTGAAAATTTTAATTTGCGGCATTTTGAAAGTTAGTTTGTTCCTCTTGCACTTTCCTTCCTCTTGGCACATTTTTGACCCCATGCGGGGTAGGAAAATGCTGCCGAAAATTCCAAAAAAATAAATATTCTCTCTCTCCTCACTCTTTACATTTTATTTATTTATTTATTTCTATTATTCTTTTATTTTATTTTTATCTCGAAATTTTATTGTTTATTCTATTTTCTTTCCCCCCCCCCTTTCCATATTATCTTTTTCTTGATTAGGTCGTCGCTACCCTCCCCTAACCACTTAAACTCCGGTTAAGGTTTTATTAGGGTTTTTCTAGGGTTTAGGGTTCTTCTAAACCCCCTACTCTCCTGCCTCCTCCCGTCGGGCACCCTGGACCCGAACGGCTCCTCCCCCCTCGAGCGATTTGGCGCGTTCTTCTCACGCGCGACCCGCCAAATCCGGGGTGAGCCGACTCTAACATACTCACTCCGCTACCGCGGTCCCCTTCCTCTTATCGGCGGGCCCCTCTCCCCACACACCCCCGTGAGCTCTACCTCCCTTTCCCTTTCGACCATGGAAGGGAGTTTCTTTGAGGAGATCACCGCGGCGCCGTCCACCTCCCAGATGAGCGTTCAGCCAGCGGGTCAGGGTCAGGCCCATGCGGATACGATGGACCTTCATGCCACCCTCGTAGCGATTCACGCGCAACTTAGTACGCTTGGACCGTTGCAAGCGCAAATCAATGCGCTTGCCCTTGACCYCAACCGCCTCAAGGGCTCTCCTCATCACTCTCCCCACCGCTCCCATACCCCATCCCCTACCGGCTCCGAGTCCGGCTCCCCACGACTCCAGAGTCGGAGACATCGTGGTTCCCCCTCCTCTACAGGCCAGGCCCAACACTCGCCCGCAGCAGTGGCGAGTGCTGCTGCCGCTCAGACCACCCCGTCTGTTGCGGCAGTTCTCCCGGCCACGGCCGCCCCTACCGTCTCTACTACTGCTGTAGGTGCTGCGGTCCAGGTACCGCCTCGAGGCCCAACAGTTTCATCGACCCACACCGGTGTTGCTTCCCAGCTTCCCGCACCGGTCGCGGCAATACGGCTCCGCCCTCTTCGTCCCGCCTTTGTCCCCCCACCCCCAGAGCAGGGTACCGCCCAGGCTGGGATTCCTCCTCCCACAGGGAGACCCGCTCCGCCCCCTCCACCTCCGACCCCGCGCACCCAGCGCCTGGCCACTTTACAGGCCACCATTGCGTAGGCTCAGGCGGAGATTCTCGCTCTGAGACAGCCTCACTCATCACAGGCTGCCCACCCTTCTTCCTCTACCACCCCTTCGGTCCCCATGATGCAGGCTCGTTTCCCTCGACCTGCTCCTCAGCCTCTTCCCTCCTACCTGGCTATTCCGGAACAGCTGCCCGCGGCCGTTGGCTCCTCGTCTGCTGGTCCATCCGCTAGCGGCCACGACCCACAACCTTCCCCTACTTCTGCCCCTGCAGCGACCTCGACTCTCGCTGCCGCAGTGCACTCGCCTCGATCTCTCTCCCCCCGCCATCAGCACAGTGGACATCCTCCTGTGCGCACCACGGACATTCCCGAGTATGATGGCACAACCCGTGTCTCTCGCTGGTTGCAGATAGCAACGCGCACGCTCTTTATGACGACGACCCGTCAGGAGTTGTGGTGCGATGTGCTCGCAACCAAATTGCGAGGTAGCCCTTCCACTGCGTGGGAGGATCATTATACCCAGCGCCTCCGCGTGGGTGAGGTCCCCACTCTGGCCGACTTCGCGGCCTTCCTTCAGGACCGTTTCGGCGCTCGTCATGACGCCACCGACGCCTTAGACCGTGTCACCCAGACCAGATGGTCCGGGTCCTCTGTACCGGCCGACCTGGAACGTCACATCCGGGTGTTTCAGGACGCTCGCCTTGTTTGTGACGAGACGTTCCTACCGGAGGTCACACTCACCGACCGGTTCCTTGTCAGCCTGCCGACTGACTATCGCCTAGAGCTATGGAGGCAATCATTCTCTTCCGCGGAGCAGGCATACGAGGCTGCGCGTCAGTACCAAAGGATGTGCAGTCGCTTCTCCGTCATCCCATCCTCTTCGCGGCCAGCCGCCACCTCTCAGTCTCGGGGTACCACCCGAGGTCGCTCCTTGTTTGCTGGTCGTTTTCATCGCCCGACCCACCCTGGAGCGTCATTCTCTCAGCGGTACAGTTCTCTGGAGTACGGCGAGGACGCCTCGGCCGAGTTTGACCCTACCCTTGGGGACGCCCCCGAGGACATCGAGCTACGAGACGTCATCCAGTATCACTTGGATGATGACACTGTTCCGGTGGCCGAGCGCTTGTTGATGGCCATGTCTGCCATGGGTCGTGCTAGTAGTCAGGTTGCACAGGATGGCGCCCGCACACCCACGGTTCCTCAGATAGACCTCCCGCAGGGTTATGTCCCTCCTCGCGGAGGTCTATCCCCTGAGGAGCGTGCCGCCCTCGAGGCCCGACGCGGCTACCTTTGTTGCCGCCTAGATGGACACACCTCCTCACGGTGTCCATACCATACCGCCCTCGATCGGCACTACGCTGACATCTCTCGTCAGCGTCGATCTCAGTCCCCCCCCGGCCCCGCCCGGCCAGCCCCATCCACCTAGCCACGGTGCACTGTGCCCCTGAGGCCTCGCWCGTAGCYGRCTTTCCGACCACCGAGTCGCGGTTTGCCCCTTTGGCTACCCCACCAGAGGACCCTCAGGACACGATAGACGCAGTTCTCTCCGCCCCATCGTCTATTGAGGTACTGTCTGCCTCCCAGCAGACTGCCGCATCTAGCGCGTTTCGTTTGAGACTTCCGACGCGTCGCGCCATTCGCACAGCCCGTTGTGGCGCTCAGCTGGCGACTCGTGATGACATTGTGTCACCTCTCCTGGACTTGAGCATTCTGCAGGCTCGTCAGAAGCGCCTCACGAGACACATCAACGTCCTGCGTCGTCTTCTCGCCTTGCTCTCTGACCCTGATCGCACCCTACCCATCATCCCTATTCGCCTAGGGACATCTACGAGGGTGTACCGCGCTTTATGGGACTCTGGCTCGAAGGGAGATTTCGTTCACCCTCGAGTGGTTGAGGAAGCTCGCCTAGCTACCTCTGGGTCTCGCTCTCCTATCTCCATTACCCTCAGAGATAACAAGACGCAACGCTTCTTCGATCAGACGGTCCCCGACCTCCACTTCTCCCTCACCCTCCAGCCACCGGATAGTACCCAGGCGCCTCGGCGCTACCATTCCTCCGCCTACTTCGACGTGCTGGAGACTGGGTACGACTTTATCCTTGGCACTCCCTGGTTTCGCCGGTTCCGTAGCACAGAGGCCGAATGGGCGTTTGAGACACTCATTCTCAAAACGAAGTGTGGTCAAACCCATCGAGTCCCCTTCATTGGAACCACGGGCGACACCCCTCCAAACCTACATCCCCAGGACCCTCGTCCTTCTGGGTCCCACCCAGACATCTCCTTCACTTCTCCCCGTCAGTTTGCTCACTTCATCCGACAGGAGGACGTCACGCTATACTCAGTGAACGTCATGGATCTTCTTCGCTACGATCCACTCTGTCCCGAGGTTGAGCTCATCTCACTGGAGCCCGATCCCCTGACCCTTCCTCCATCTTCGCGGCTCCCATCTCTACATCCACCCCGCAGCCTGCGGATACCCCCTCGACATCCCAGGTTCCTACGCCGTCCACTGCCGAGTCCACCTATACGTCTCGTGCTGACGCAGACGTTGAGGAACTCATGCGGTTCACGACTGACTTAGAGCCCGTCATTCGCGACCTGATTCGGGAGTATCGCGACGTCTTCCCCCCGTATTTCTCATACAGCGGGATTCCCCCGATGCGCGGTGTCGAGCTTTACATCCAGCTCGTGCCTGACTATCGTGTTCACCATCAGGCACCATACCGACTCTCGATTCCAGAGGCGACGGAACTCAAGCGTCAGCTTGAGGAGCTCCTTCGATTTGGTTTCATTAAACCTAGTAACTCCCCTTGGGGTGCATCTGTCCTCTTTGCTCGCAAAGTGGACGGAACTCTCCGCCTCTGGATCGATTATCGCGGCCTTAACCGTTACACGGTTAAGAACAGCTATCCCATGCCCCGCGCGGATGAGCTGTTTGACCGTCTGGCAGGCAACCGCTTCTTCACGAAGATCGATCTTCGTAGCGGTTACCACTAGATCAGCGTTGCCGCAGAGGACCAGCCGAAGACCGCCTTTCGGTCGCGCTTCGGCCACTACGAGTTCATGGTGATGTCATTCGGCCTCACCAATGCACCCGCCACCTTCCAGATGGCGATGAACGACATCTTCAGGGACATCTTTGAAGAATATGTTCTCGTATACCTGAACGACATCTTGGTCTACAGTCGTACCTTAGAAAACCATATCAGACACCTCCGCGATGTCCTACAGCGCTTACGCAAGCATGGCTTCTATGCCAAACTCAGTAAGTGCCGCTTTGCCCAGGGCAAAGTGGACTTCCTAGGACACCATGTGTCTGACCAGGGTCTCCACATGGACGATGTGAAGATCACTGCTATTGCAGAGTGGCCCGTCCCCACATCTGCCAAGCAGCTTCGCAGCTTTCTAGGCCTCACCAGCTACTATTGTAATTTTATCCAGGGATACGCTAGGTATTCCTACGTCCTTACCTCCACCCTCCTCTGGAAGAACCCGCCGTGGTTTTGGACACCCTTCTGCGAGGACGCCTTCCGCGCCCCGGTGACTTGCGCGCCGGTTCTTCGCCTTCCCGATTTTGATCGTCCCTTTATCGTCACCACCGATGCGTCAGATTTTGCAGTAGGAGTTGTCCTTTCTCAGGTGTTCCCCTCTCCTCCAGATTCACCTTACCCCCATGTTCCTCCTTTCCCCCCCCCTCCTGCTGACACTGCTTCTCGACTGACGCCTATCCTACCACCACTTCCCTCCACTTACAGTCCTCCCATTACTTACTCCCCGACCATCACGGAGGATGGGACGGTCGAGGCTCGTGTTGGGGATTGCCCGATCGCTTTCTACTCCCGTCAGCTACTACCTGTCGAGATAAACTACACTGCAAATGAACGTGAGGTTCACACAGTAGTTTATGCTACCTGGCATTGGCGTCATTATCTGCACGGGGCGCCCTTTACGGTGCGCACAGACAACTCAGTTGTCCAGGCTTTCCTCACGAAGCCTAAGCTTTCCCCTCGACAGGCACGCTGGTGGCGTGACTTATCCGAGTTCAGTTTCACCACTCAGCCCATCAAGGGTGAAACGAACCGCGTCGCCGATGCCTTGTCCCGCCGTCCTGATCACAATCAGGAACTCATCCATCTTGCTGCCATCTCCATCACCAGTGTTGATCAGTCGGTAATCGATGCGTATCGCACTCAGTACCGCCACTGCCCCGATTATCGCGTCATCCACGCGACACTGCGGAGTGGCAAGACCGTTCCTTCCTACTCCCTCGGGGAGAACGGCCTCGTGTACTGGCATGGCAGATCTGGTCAGCTAGAACCACGTATCTGCGTTCCCTCCACCGGACAACTCCGCATCCAGGCTTTAACAGAGTTCCATGACCAAGCAGCTGCCGGTCATATGGGTTTCCACAAGACGTGGGCTCGTGTTTGCCGCCTATACGTCTGGCCGAAGTCCAAGGACTTTGTCAAAGCCTACATCGAGGAGTGTCCTACCTGCCAGGAGGTGAACAGTGCGAACCACCTTCCGTATGAGTTACTTCAGCCCCTACCCATACCTGAAGGTCGTTGGCAGTCTATCTCGATGGATTTCATTGGTCCCCTCCACCCACCCACTCAGCGCGGTCATGATGCTATCTTGGTCGTCGTCGATCGCTTCACGAAGTGTGCAGATTTTGTTCCATGCCGCTATCGCATTAGCGCTCGTGAGGTCGCCGACATTGTCTTCGACCGAGTCGTGAGAGATCACGGCTTACCTAAGAGCATCATCTCCGACCGTGACCCGCGCTTTACCAACACATTCTGGCGACGCCTACACGAGGTGTACGGATCCCAGCTCCACTTCTCATCGTCTTACCACCCTCAGACGGATGGTCAGGCTGAGGTTACCAACAAAACTCTCGGTAATATCCTCTGAAAGTTTGTTAGGGATGACCAGCAGTGGGACTTACACTTAGCCCACTCGGAGATTGCGTACAACCACGTTGTTTCGCCAGCCACGGGGATAACGCCATTCTATTGCGACCTCGGCTACCACCCTCGCGTACCTGTGGATTTTCTACGACCATCGCGGTTGCGCCCAAACACTCGTTGCCCTGCGCTTGACGACTGGATCGCCCACATGGCGGCGATTATGAAGCGCACACACGAGAGTTTAGCCGACTCCCAGACTCGCATGGCCGCACGAGCGAACCGATCA